TTTCTCCCAGTGGATGATAAACTTTTTGAAGTAGGGATGACATCTTTTTTAAAATTTTACTTACTTATTTATGGCTGTGCTGGGACTTCGCTGCTGCTCACAGGCTTTTCTCCAGTTGTGGTGAGCGGGGCCTGCTCTCCAGCAGTGTGCAGGTTTCAGCAGCTGTGGCATACGGGCTCAGTTAGTCCTCAGCATGTGGGACCAAGGAGAGAACCCAGGTGCCCTGCATTAGCAGGTGGATTCTTTCTCTTATTTGTGGCTTCGCTGCTGTGTACAGATGTTCTCGAGTTGCGGTCAGCAGGGGTTACTCTTCACTGAGGGCTGCTCCTTGTGGGGGCTTCTCATGCTTGGGAGCACAGGCTCTAAAGAGGCTGGGCTTCAACTGTTTATAATAGCCAGGACATGGAGGCAACCTAGATGCCCATCAGCAGACGAATGGATAAGGAAGCTGTGCTACATATACACCATGGAATATTACTCAGCCATTAAAAAGAATTCATTTGAATCAGTTCTAATGAGATGGATGAAACTGGAGCCCATTAAACAGAGTGAAGTAAGCCAGAAAGATAAGGACCATTACAGCATACTAACACATATATATGGGATTTAGAAAGATGGTAATGATACCCTACATGCAAAACAGAAAAAGAGACACAGATGTACAGAACAGACTTTCGGACTCTGTGGGAGAAGGCGAGGGTGGGATGTTTCAAGAGAACAGCATCGAAACATGTATATTATCTAGGGTGAAACAGATCACCAGCCCAGGTTGGATGCATGAGACAAGTGCTTGGGCCTGGTGCACTGGGAAGACCCAGAGGGAGCAGGTAGAGAGGGAGGTGGGAGGGGGTATCGGGATGGGGAATACATGTAAATCCATGACTGATTCATGTCAATGTATGACAAAACCCACTACAATACTGTAAAGTAATTAGATTTCAACTAATAAAAATAAATGGAAAAAAAAAATAAAGAGGCTGGGCTTCAGTAGTTATGACACATGGGCATAGCTGCTCTGTGGTATGTGGGATCTTCCTGGACCAGGGATTGAACCAATGTCCCTTGCATTGCAAGGGGGCCTCTTAGCCACTGGACCACCAGGGAAGTCTCAGAGACTACATCTTATTTATTTTACACATCTAGTATACAGTATCAATACATAATGCCTCACTTGTACAAAGAAGGAACTCAACAAGTATTTCTAGAATGATCACTATGGTTTTCTCTTTAGTCCAAGAACCAGGGTGCCTAATATGTTAACCAGAAGCCATACAGGAGTTAGTTATTAACTGTTCTGGCAGGAGCTACAAAGTGGTACTATTACAAGTGTCAAAGTCAGTCATGTAGTGCAATAAGCTCGGGATCTAAGTTAGCACTTCCTCACGTCTCATTTCTAAGTAAGCAGACTTTTCCTGACTATTAATTTCAGTTATACATGCACAATTGCGTTAAGGGTAATGACCAATTACCTTTTTATTTAGAACCAAAGTTAGGCAGCTTCTAGTTCTGCTTAGCTTAGACAAGTGGTGTTCCCAAAACAGGATACAGGAATTTCAGTCATGAGGTTCCCAACAGACTTACTACTGGTTGAGGACTGCATATCCACTGAAGAAAAAAAATTGTGCTGAGCTGCACTTGTTGTTGTCAATGAGAAAATGACTTTAAAATTAATCAAGAATCTTCCAAGATATAGGAATAAGATGAACTCTAATAAAATGAAACAGATTTTTAGTTTGGATCATGCTACCACCCTAGTCCAAGCCACCATTAACTCTTGACTGATCACCTTTCCTAAATGCACTCTTGCCTCCATCTATCCATTTACCATAAATAAGATCATGTCATTCCATTTAACACAACCACTTAACTGCTTTTATAACAAAATTCAAAAATTTACACATGCCCTAGAAGGTTCCATACTTTTTGGGCTCCTTTATCTCTTCAGAGACATTCTACACTCATCTCTTCCTTAACTAGTAATGGTCTGGCCATGCTTTTCTTTCTGAGGTCATGGCACCATCCTGTAAATTTTTTGATGTCTAGTAGCTCAATCTTCTTATAAGAACTTTTCAGTTTTTCAATCCTTAATGTTTCTTGTGCATGAGTTGTGTACCTAAGAACAAAGGCAACTTGTCTGAGAAACCCTCACAAACACACTGAAATAAAGACTAGATTAAAATATAAAAACTCATATTCTTCTTGAGTTAGAAGTTTTTTTGGTGTTAAAAATGTACATCATCTTTGAGCTTTAATTAACTGATGTTATTTTTCTGACAAATAGTAATATTTGTTTGATTTTAACATCCTGCAGAGACTAATTCAAATTTTAAAATGTTTTCTATTTACAAGAAAGAGTTAAACACAAATTTAAAGAAAACACCGCCTTCTTAATAAGTTATTAAAAAATTTGAGTCCCTTTGATAACTAACGGTATCCTATTGCAATTTCCCAAATGTATGGAAATTAACATAATCTTATAATGCTGACAGCTTGAGACAAAACAACAAAAAATAGTCAGACCAAACAAAAATCTTAATAACCTGCTTCTATTTAAATGCATTCAAAGAGGCATTAACTCTCTGCTTCCTACTATGATGACTTTCTGGACATATGTGCCTGAGTAAAGTTCTTTAAGTGAAGAATCTACATGTGAATATTCTTTCTTTATTTTTGCAAAAGGTCATTCATTAATCTCAGAAAAGAATCCCAACCGACATTGCTCTGGTTGATGACAGGTGTAACTTCTGAACGATAGCGATTCTTCCTCTCAGAACTGCGTCTAAAAATTTATCAGGTACTTAACTCCCAGAAGTTATTAGTTAAGATACAACTGTCATGAAGCTTTAAAAACTGAAAAATTTCACTTAGGTTTCAGGCTTACTCATTTGGCAGTAAAAACTGACTTGAACCGATCAAGACTATTTTTAGTCTTTATTAATCTCACATAACATGAACATTGATACATTTTGCTGCAGAAATGTGTTTAAAAACCTCCAGACTCTGTCAGAGGGTGTTATATAATACATAGCATAGGTACCCTAGGGCTTCTCTGGTGGCCCAGCAGTAATGAATCCACTAGATGCAGGAGACTCAAGTTCAATCCCTGGGTCAGGAAGATCCCCAGGAGAAGGAAATGGCAACCCACTCCAGTATTTTGGCCTGGGAAATCCCATGGACAGAGGAGCCTGGTGGGCTACAGTTCATGGGGTTTCAAGAGTCAGACGCAACTTAATGACTAAACCACCACCACTCTATTGCTTTCCCAAAAGTCAAAAAGTTCTAAATTCCAAAATGCATTTGGCCCAAGGGTTTCGGATAATGAAATGTGGACCTGTAGTAGGTTTCAATAATTTAAAATAGAGGGATACATGGGATAGTCTGATCACCTTTATCAACTACATACTTAGTCATACTAAACTTTTCTAGGTGTTTATTTCTATAAAATACATGTGGTATATAATTCTGATTATCTTTGTCTAACACTTATTCAGACTTAAGGTAGCTCAAATAGAAAACTTCTGGTTTTTACTTTTGCTTAACCTGCTACTCTAAGTTCTTTCCTTTTACAAACTGAAATCAATGTGCAAAATTAACCAGACAGTCTAAGAGATTATATGGCTTGAATATTTGGGAAACAGGGCTTCAATTTCTTTTCTTCTAAGTGAGAGGCTGGCAAATGATGGTCTGTGGGCTTCCGCCTATTTCACAACTATGCCCACTTATTTATATATGGTCTGTGGCTGCTTTTCAGCCACAATGGCAGAGCTGTGTAGCTATGGCATAGACCATATGACCTGCAAAACCTAAAATATTTACTATCTGGCCCTTTATTGAAAAAGGTTTGCTGAGCTTTGATCCAAATCGATTAGCTCACAAGGGTACTAATACCTATGACTACATTATAGCCATGACTTTATAAAATAAGTTGGTCTGTCTGCATTTAGGGCTTATTTAGGGCTCCCCTGGTAACTCAGCTGGTAAAGAATATGCCTGCAATGCAGGAGATCCTGGTTCGTTCGATCCCTGGGTCGGGAAGATCCGCTGGAGAAGGGACAGGCTCCCCACTCCAGTATTCTTGGGCTTCCCTGGTGGCTCAGATGGTAAAGAATCCGCCTGCAATGCGGGAGACCTGGGTTCAATCCCTGAGTTGAGAGGATCCCCTGGACAAGGGAACGGCTACCCAATCCAGTATTCTGGCCTGGAGAATTCCATGGACTATATAGTCCATGGGGTTGCAAAGAGTCAGGCATGACTGAGTGACTTTCACTTTCACTTTAAGGCCTTATGGGTGACATTTCAAAGGCAAAGACAGAGACAGCTGTCACAGACTGATACTCCCTTTCTGTCTGAATGTGGTCTCAACAGGTCAACATGTTAGACCCCTGGCCAGATCCAGAGGGATGAGGAGTATGCTACTTGCTGATGATATAACTCTGGTCAGAGGATGAAGACAGAACTTCACAAGGTGAAGTTAATAATGTTCCCATCAATTGTAAACATTAAACTCACTGAAAAGAATCCTTATGCTTTACATTTATGTTGATATGCATAATTCCAAAGAGGTCGGGAAATACGGATCTTACAAATTATTCATCAGTATATTGTAATTCAGGTGTGCTATGCTTCTTGAAAAGACAAAATTATCTTTTGCCACATTTGACAAAAAGTTCCCCAGCTCAGCTGTGGCTCAATAAACTTTTATTATTTTTTTGTTATTTATTTTTATTCAAAAGAATTTGTTTCCCTATCACAAAAATTAGATAAGCATACCACCAACAGCAGCAAAGTCCGTAGAGTTACATTGATGGTGGAGAGTTCTCTGGGTATTCCCAATGTCCCGAAGGTCAAAAGGAGGAAAAACAGGGAAAGAAAAAATACTCAAAACAAATCCAAAACCCATGGTGACTTTGGGGAGAGACATTGCAGGATCTGTCTTCTCTCATTGTTGGCTGCAGATGTATTTCAGCAGGATCTAGTACAATTTAACTTGAGCAAACCCTTCATACCAACTCTAGCACCTAATAGGGAGAAAAAAGAATTAGTACAATAAAACCATTTTACAATATAGAAAAAGTTAAATCAGTCTTCATTACATTGTAAATAAAGAACCAAACCAAGTAATCATTTCCCAGTTGCTAAAATGCCAAAGAATTTGAAGGGTTTAGACATTAATCCATTCTTACTTTCAATTCGATAGCTGCATGAACTCTTTCAGGTTAGTTATCTCTACAGTTAGCTAGGGTGCCTTCGAGATAAACTACATAAAAAATAAAGATAAATGACTGTCTGATGCATAGCATGAATATGATGTTTTTGGAATATTATGTTAGTATCTTTCCATAATCATAAGAAAAATTTTAACTATTACTGTTTAGAATTTTAATCTATTTCTTGCATTGACTAGCATCTCATAGTGATCAAGGTATTCAGGACCTAAAATCTAACCATTCCTTATTGCTTCTTTTATTGTCTAGTCAACTGTCTGGGTATCAAGATATTTTGTTAGCTATTAGAGTAGTACCTTATCATACAAAAAAAAATTGTGATATTGCTAAAACTAAAAATAAGAAAAAGCAATGATCAGTTATAAAAAGAGTAGAAGAAATGGCTGAGAAAGGACACTGAATGTGAGGACAATTATGAGTACTGTCAAAAAGGATTATGTTAGATGAAGACTGTAATTCTAGGCTGCTAAGAAGGAAATGGCAACCCACTCCAGTGTTCTTGCCTGGAGAATCCCAGGGAGGCGGAGCCTGGCGGGCTGCCGTCTATGGGGTCGCACAGAGTCGGACACGACTGAGGCGACTTAGCAGCAGCAGCAGCAGCAGCAGGAATTAAAGGAGCAGCTTCTAGCCTGCTATGCTAAGGCTTGAGTTATACCCATGCTTCCCTAAAGCGTTTTGTCTTTACATTTGGCAAGCATGTCACTTTACATAGAGGTCAGGGCTACTGAACAGGAATCTAAAGATTTATCACTGAGATTCTATAAGGATGTATGTAGCTTTGGCTTTCTCTAGATACATTAGCAATCCCAATTGCCTCAAAGGGCAAACATGTAGAAGAATAAAGTGCAGCTTTTTCAATACAAGCCTTGCCATGAGAATAAGGAGAAACTGAGAGACTACAGAATCACTTAAAATGGAGATTCTAAGACCTTCTACCATCTTGTATGAGGCTTCCATAATATAGCATTGGCTTTTGTCCATCACTCTCTAATAAGTCTTCCCAAATAAAAGAAACCAGATATATAAAAAGAAATGTACCACGTAAATTAATTTGACCAGCTAATAGTGCTGTTCTGCTTTGCATTTGCTCCTTTCATCTCTGTAGGACAGTGTGTGAGGCCTGGATTTGCTCTCGATTACTGGGTCATTCTCCACTCGGGATGAGTGGAAGGAAGCCATGGTAAAATTAATGTTAAGTGGCAGGGAAACAGACACATCTTATTTTTTAAAAAAATGCATTCTGATACTTCTGTATCAGCACAGAGTATGTGGAAAGAACTGGTACCCACAAACTAAGTGTTAATCAAACCCATGTAATAAAAACCCTTCTCCAAGACGATGTTTCAATTAAAAGCTCACTGCTTAGCTCAGGATTTATTTATCCAATGTACTGTGCCTAAGTGCTGAGTATCCAATGGTGTAACTAGATAAATTTTTTAATTTCCTTGAACCCCTAACTACCAAGAAAAGTATGTGGAATACTATATCTGAATTTGGGAATGAGGTTGTGAGTGAAGAGAAATCAAAGTTTTCAGATTATACCAATGGCATGATCACACAATCAATCAACTTTCAACAGAAAAGTAGAATTCCTTTTCTTCCCCTAGCAACTGAAGAAAAATCTACTTGTCAAGATAGAAAAGGAAGAAAAACACGACGAAGAGAAGAATACAATAAGAGTTAAAGACATTTTAAAATTTGCTAAGTGTCTAAGCATCTGTCGCTGTATCTTGGATTCTGTCCCCTGAATACCCAGCGGGACAGCTGCACAGGCATAACAGAAGCTGAACAGTGAATGGCCCACAGTGAGTGCTTCATAGTCTTCATATGCTTGTCATTCTGACCGCCTTTCAGACCCTTCAGCATTTGTATAACCTCTAACAAGTACTATCATCTCCTCCAAAGTTGCAAGCTACCTATTCTTCTCCCCTCCAATCAAAGCCATTTCCAAGCAGACAGAGACTCATGATTTGGCATGCTCTCTAAGGCTTAGTACAACTCTGTATTTCTGTGTTATAGTTATAGTCTGATATGGCCTAAAAATGGAGATGTATAAAATAGCTTACCTTAATTGTACCCTGACTGTTAGCAGCAATCAGCACATTGGACTCCTAGAAAAGAACAAGAACTTTTAGAGTACAAAGAAGGAATTCCTGCAGGGCAGCCCAGGAGAATAATTTCCTCTTCATCCTTCTTTCTTTCACTTTACCCTAGGACACCAATACAATCTAAACTGGAGAAGCAACTTTAACATGCTTTTAACTATGAATTATAAATTCAAAATCCCATATTTTGAGGATTAGATTTAATTAAAAAAAAAAGTTGGAAGCAGAGTAGGAAACTTTCAAATGTAAAGAAAAATAAAAGGAAACAGACTGCCACTAGGAGGAAAGCCAAGAGAAACAAAGACTGAAACAAAGCACAAATGATAACTTGAGAAAAACAAAGTACACGGTTCTTTCTGCAGACAACTTCCCCTTCATTCATTTTATCCCCTGAGAAACCAGCAACTGTTATACTTCTCTACGATAGCTACCTGGTATTAGGAAAACAAAATAAAACAGAATGTGAATATTCATCTGGAGACAGACGGCTATCTTTGTTTCCTTTTTTTCTTTTTTTTGTTTTTTTCCTTCACAGAAGAAATTATTTTATTCCACTTGAAAAAAGTACACAGTTCTTTGCCTGGCAAAAGTCTTTTTCTCATGAGTCTGCATCCTGCCTTGTGAATTTAATGGTTACAAAATGTTAGAGAAACTTGTGGTCCTTGGGCACAGCACACAAACACTTGACTAGAAAGGCATTTATATGATCAAAACATTTCCTGTAGCAATGATTCACAAGTTCACTTTAAGACCAGCTTGACTTTGAAGAAAACATTTAGTTTTAAGATTTAAATTTGCTAATTGAACCCAGGGCAAAACAGTTTTTCACATAATTGAGAGGAGAAACTGAAAACCCATCTCAAGTACTCATCCACCACATTCCCCTTTTCTTACCTGAGCTCTCTTAAATTGATCTCTAGGCCGAAGGTGTCAAATGCCTTAAACCTACCCAAAGCTCAGCATTTGTGCATCATGTTTTTCTCCCTGGAGGTAGACCTTTCCAAGGCTCAGCCACCCCGGCCAATTTCCACTCCTCCATGGGACCAAGGCTCCTACCCTCACCCCAGTCACCCTTACTACAACAGCAAGGCCTCAGAGGCCAACCAGGCCCTACATGAGCTTCCAAATTTAACACTGCTGTGGCCTCGTCAGAGATGGGCAAACCTCAGGCCTCTCTTTTTATGGTCTTCCACAGCAAAGGTCACCTCTAGGCGCTACATTAAGTGTTCAGTAGTTTAACATCATGAGCTACATTGTAGTCACTCAAAGAAAGGTGACTGAGTCCTAATCCTGTTCTATGACTCTGGAAGTCCTAAGAATGGGGTCAAGGAAGCAGAGCAAGTACATCCATTCTCCCTGCACCACTCTGCCAGGAGCATACGGGGGCCAGCAGATGCTGGGCTGGTGACTGCTCAGCCTTAGAAATGTCACGTGTTGGGACCTGGGTGATAAGGCACTCATCTTTCTCCCTATACCTACCTCACTCGACACAGATCAGAAACAGCTCCCTCCAAGGATGCTGACTTGGGGAATCCAGTTAGCATCACCACGGAAAAGGTCCTCAGGTGAAACTGGGCCATGGCCTTCAAATGTTCTGGCCAGGAAGTGCCAGCTGCCCCATGAAGAGCTTAAAATGTGCCTGTGTGTCAGATTAAGGAGCGCTAAAATTATGAGGAACAGAACTGCTATCTGCTCAATATTCAACAGTTTAGATCCAGGGCTTTCAAAATTCTAGATATGACATAAAAAAGCTGTCTGGGTATAAATGTGAAGCAGGGCTTGTTACAACTGTAATGTATCACGCCCTGAAACAGGGCGGCACCTCATTATTGCACACTGTCTTTGCTGGAGAGATACAAAACATCATTTTTCAGAGCCAGTCAACCCACTCCAGTGTTCCTGCCTGGAGAATCCCAGGGACGGGGAAGCCTGGCGGGCTGCCGTGTATGGGGTCGCACAGAGTTGGACACAACTGAAGTGGCTTAGCAGCAGCAGCAGCATCCCTCCACAGTAGGCAGTGGACAAAGCAACACACAGACAGACAAAGCTGACACCAGGGTCTCCCATATGCAGGTCCATCTGCCAAGGCCATTCATCTCTCTCCACTCATGTCCAACTTGAGGGCCTACAGTGCTATTGTAAAGACACACAAGTCCAGTCCACTAAATGCCTTCAAGGAGTAGCATTTGCCATGTGTAAACGTCTCTCCTGTCACTCTTCTCTGGATATAAGAGGCTGAGAATGCTGATGTTTTGGCTCCCACAGGCTTGGATGAGTCCACTCCCCATGATGAATGTGATTGAGAACATGATGGTGACTACTGAAATCTGTCCATATGTCACAGAAAAAAAAAATGCAGCATGCTAAGATATGGACAACATCAGTGGAAGCCTGAGTGCTAGAGCTGGCCTGATTGCTTAGAAACAAGAGCTAGATCCCCCCATGGGTGGTCTGACTGAACTGGCTCTCTGAAGAGGGGATGGTTGGCATTGGAATTAATCTGGGGGCTTGCCCTGGAACTGCATTCCCTGCCATGGAGCCATTAGGGATAGCAGTTGTGTTCAAGATACTAGGGGTCTCACTAGTAGCTTGTATTTTAAAATAGACTAAATAAAACACTGGTAAAACAACTCCAATTAGAAGCATGATAAAAACAGCATTCCTCCACTGAATCCCACAGTCTGCACCATTTGTCAGTGTCTTTGGAGGAGCAGGAAGCAGTGGCTGACTGGAGGTCTCTATGGAGTAACTTTCACTCAAAAAGATTTCTGACTGAACTGCATGTTCAATGTTCTGGTCAACGCCCTTAAAGAAATCCGTCAGTGAGCCAGATGAGGCACTGGCATTGACAGCTGCTCTGTCTGGGTCTGGCTGCTCCTCGAAGGTCACTCTGGTCTCTGAGGATGAGTTCAGGAGGGGTCTGAGTTCTTTGTGGGTCTCTGTTAGAATCCCGTGGTTTTTCACTGGAATCTTAATAGATTTTAAAGCATATAAGTCTTGTTCTCTGATGAAGTTGTTGACTTTCTTGATATCTGCAACTTTGCAGCCATACTGAAGAGCGAGCTTGTTGAGGCTGTCCCCCTGGGCCAGTTCCCGCTGCAGCAGCACCACGTCCCCTGCTCCTGGCCGGCGAGCGTGGTGGACACCCTTCTTCTGGCTCTCCTTGCCCCGGGGCCGCAGGGCCACTCGGTGGGACTCTTCCTCAGAGGAGTCCTCGGAGTCCTTAACACCATTCTCAAACATGTAAACGTGGCTGGTCGGAGTCCTACAGATCACAGCTGGGCCTTGGAAGGTCTTGGTTATCACCTCCTTCTGCCTCATTTCCTTAACTCAGCACCCGGGATCCACCGAGACCCGCCGCCGCCCACAAGTGGTATTATTCAATTCTCCAATTTCTGCATTCTTTTATATTTCCTTCACACCATCCCAAGGCAGTTATATACTTTCCTATGGTAGCCTCTGATTTATATACAAAGAGAGAAAATACTCAAAGTGCTAACGTTTCATTGCTTCATCTTACTGAGTTGTAGTGGATTTCCTGAAAGGCACAATAATTCTTCCATTAAAACCCACTTACAGAGGTTCTCTTTTATCATTTCTATTGTTTTGGATTTTGGAGTTATACCCATTTCACTTTTGTTTGGATCTGATTCATCAAGAGAGTCTCCCAATTTGCCCAGAGTGATCACTTAGCTTAATACAGACATTTGTTTATGCTGTGCGTGGGCAGCATGTGAGAGCCCACACAAATATACGGAAATACTGGCTCCAAGATGATCCCCAGTGGTTTTTAAATAAGTGCCATTGGTAAACCAAACAGTTTCTTTTGACCCTGACCTTTCTTTCAGCATGTGGTTTTTCAGAAATGACTTAATAAAAAATATGTAAATATGTCTAAGAGAAAATGAATACAAAAACACAATCTATCAATAAGAGGTCCTGCTCTTTAAATGAAAATGTTAACAGTCAGCCTTCCCTGCGTTCTATAAAGGATCTAAAACTGAGTGAATTAATGGTTTGAACTGTGTTTTCAAGACAGACAATAAAATTTGTTTGCTTAGACTCTAAGGTTCTCATTTTACTACTGTCTCACTGTCTCATTTTACAATCTTATAGAGACAATGAAAAAAAAATTCTATCATCATCACATAACTAATTGTTGAGAACTACAGGCCAGTTACTGTGTTAAGGACTATATATTTCACTTAATTCACATAGTAATCCACAGAGGAAGATGAGATAATACTTTTATCCTCAATTTAAAAAGAATAAAACATGATCTTAAAGACACTTAATAACCTGTTCAAAGCCATACACACAATTATGAAATAGCGAAGTCATGAATCAATATGTGGAGACTGATAAGATATGCTAATTTTTGGTTTTAGACATATTGAGTTTGTTAAGTTTATCACATGACTGGCCGTGACTTGAATTTACTAACTTAGGAGGAGAAAGGGGTCTTAGGTGAGCATTTGATATGTACGGGAGAATCTCAGCTTTCAGACATTATATATGGATATTACACCTCAAATCTCACATGTCTAGTTTTCTAACCATAAATATGATTTCAAGTATAATAATATATAAAATTTTTATATATTTTATATAATATATATATTTTTTAAATATACAAAATTTCAAGTATAATACCATCTGAGAGAAGGACTTGGCCACAGAAATAAAGTGGAAGGAAGTATACCATAGTCAGCATATGTAGTGGTTGTGCCAGGCTAACAGCCATGCTGCCAACCCAATTTAAGATCTTGGAGTTTATGTATCATAAAGGAATGCTTTCAAGACTACTCAGTTAAACACAAATCCTCTCTTTCCTCCCCACTGGTATCCTTGCATAGGATGATACTGGATCCCTTTTTAATCCCAAACTATAAGGACTATTACGAACAGAAAAACATAGTCATAATGGATGATTAACAGAATAAAGGGTTATTGTTTTAATAAAATATATTACCTTTATCACACTTCAACTTTTTTTGATTCATTCA